TCCTGGCTACTAGGGAGGCTTAGGCAGGAGGATCACTTGAGCCCAGGAATTTGAGGTTGCTGTGAGCAATGATGACACCACTGCACTCTAGCCCGAGTGATAGAGCAAGACTCTGTCTCAAAAAAAAAAAAAAACAACCTGTACAAATTGAGTTTAACAATAAATGTTTGTCAAATGAATAACTTCTTTTCACTTTAAGGTGCTGTATTTTGGGATGTTATCCCTCAGAGGATTACTTCCTTGAAAAGGAAGGAATTTTTCTCCTTTTGGATTTATTGGCAGTAAGTATGGTTATAGCAATTGTAAGACAAAGATAAATATGGCTTTATTAATCTTTTCCAAACTAAGTGCCACAGAACACTATTCTATGAATAAATGTGCCCCCAAATCATGTTCAAATATATTATTTAAGCAAAATATCTCCTGGAAATTCATAATCACCAGCATATTAAAGGCTCTGAAAATTCCTCCAGTTAAGAAATCATTTTACTTAGGTCAGTGTTTCCAAATACACATATGCAGAGAATTTATTTTTTCTTTGTACTCCATCAACCTGCTAAGAAACAATTTGTGAAGAGCTAGACTATATCAAAACCCATATTCATTTATTAATAACTTATAGCTTCTTCTCCTAGTATTAAAAGTTAAGGGCCACATTTGACAAGGAGCAAAGATAAGCATTTTAAAGAACTGTGTATAGTTTGGAGGTAATATGAAAAAGTCTAGTGTGTCATGGACTACCATTTTGCAGACTGAGCAGGAATGAGCATACTAAGCCTTCCAGGAAAGACAGTTGCCATCTAGCAGCTGTGAAAAATGTAACTCCCAGCTAGCCTGAATTCTAAGTGGGGTCCATAGTCAAGATGATGTGGGAGAAAAGTGTAATTTTGTTTCAATAAAATTTTGAAACAAAAGAGATTCTCATGCAGAGTTCTAGCCTTATAACTGTCTATGGTTGCCACCATTCTTCATTTTATTAACAGAAGAACAAACCTACTTTGATTTAACAAAGATGCTAAAATTATTTGTATCCTTTAACCTCCCTAAAAGAAAATTAGTCCATTTCTCTGTTTTTGATTTCTTTATCTGTAAAACAGGGTTAACAACAGTACATACCTCATTGCACTGCTGGAAGGATTAAATGAGTATGTGTTCATGTACATGAGTATGCATGCATACATATATAGTACACACATTGATTAATAGTGTCTAGCACATATTGCTATGTGTTTACTATTATGAATATTATTACTAGATTGTGCTTAATTCAATTGAACTGGTCAAGTTAGTTACAAATTATAAATATTCTTTAATGAAGTTTTTACATCAACTTCAACCTTTGACATTTGCCTCTTTCTCCTGAAAGTGAAGTATAGGAATAAAAAACTCAATTGATTGAGGGTTCTGCATAATACACTTCTGCTAAAATATTTATAAAGTGTGCAGTGATAATAATTGCTAATAATGGTTAAATATTATTGAGAGATTACTATGTGCCAGGCGATCTCATATAATTCATAATAACCCTTTGCAGGTAATATTATTATCTTTCATTTTATAAAAGGAAACTGATAATGTTTGCAATTCAAAAAAAAGTTTACATGTTTACTTTGCTATATTCAATTAACAATATACTGTAAAAGTTAATCAACAAAAAATATTTCACATAGAAGAATTACTGTGTGGAACCCATTGCTTTGGATGGAATTTTCTGTACCTAAATTTTGGTTTGCTGAAAACTAGTGGTAGCAAAATAAAGGAAATATTCTTGATAATAAGAGAATGTTTCTTGAATGCTTAAATACTCCTTTATGGAAGCTAATTGTCAAAAAACAAAATTATATCTCATTTTCTTTTATTTTCATATGTGACTGTCACTTGTAATTACCATCAGTTATTCTTTTAATAACAAAGAGATTATAGTTAATATTCATGTCAGATCTTTACAAACCTTCATAAAGCATGTCAATGAGGAAACATCCTATAATTACAGTGAAATATGTAAAGCACTATTGACCTCACTGAACTTAAAATGAACATCTTCTCTTATTTTTGCAAATCTCCCTTTTGCAACTGAACCAAATCAATTACATTTTTGGTCATAGCATTTTTATGGTTACTTCAGAATTATATTAAGTCTTTTTATCCTTTTTAATTTCTAATGTTTGAAAATGTACTCATTACAATGGGTATTTTAATGGGAGACTGTCCCGACTCTTGAGTTTAGAAGAAACTGATAATACAAATGTTCCTCTTTTTTTATTAAGGAAATAATTCTTAATATTTATTGTAACTTTTTTCCTTTTCTATTTCCTTACTAAAGTTGAACCAAAAAAAATTTTGTAATCTTATACTCGGAATAATGGTTGAATTTTGTGATAATCCCAAAACTGCGGCTCATGTCAATGCTTGGCGAGGGAAGAAGGATCAGACAGCTGCTAGTCTTTTAATTAAACTGTGGAGAAAGGAAGAAAAAGAACTAGGAGTAAAACGTGATAAAAATGGAAAGATCATTGGTGAGTGTATTTATAACTGTTAGTAGGAGCAATTAGATGCATTTTTTAAAAAAAGATCTTTAGGCCAAGTGCAGTGTGTCATGCCTGTAATCCTAGCACTCTGGGAGGCTAAGGCAGGAAGCTTGCTTGAGCTGAGGCGTTCCAGACCAGCCGGAATAAGAGCTGAGACCCTTTCTCTGCTAAAAATGGAAAAATTAGCTGAGCATCATGGTTCGTGCCTATAGTCCCAGCTACTCAGGAGGCTGTGGCAGGAGGATTGCTTGAGCCCAGGAGTTTGAGGCTGCCATGAGCTAGGCTGATGCCACAGCACTCTAGCCCAGGCAACAGAGCAAGAGCCTGTCTCAAAAAGAAAAAAAAAAGGAAATTGAATCCCCCTTCTTACTTTCCCCCTTCATATAAAAAAACCTTTAAAAGGTATTATTAGAAAAGCATGAGGACTTTTACCCCTTGTTCTAACTACAGTTCTTTTCACAAGGGTTTAAAGAACTTGGTCTCATAAATTCTGAATGGGTGGAAGAAAACTAAATAAATTAGTAGTAGGTTCATATTTTTATAGAATATTTTCAAGAAATGGTATTTCATTATCCCATTAACTCAAAAAACTAACAGTGGTTCCTAAAGAAGTTTCTTTGAGTTCCCTGCTTTTAGAAATTGATTCAGTAATGTTTAATTTACCAGTGAAATTTTGGGATATGAATAGATTACTTGAAAATAATTTTATAGTATTTTGTACATTTCTGCTGATTAATGTTTATACAATTTTTACATGAAAGAATAAATTGTTTTCTAAATAAAAATAAATCAAAAGTTCATAAATTTTAATTTCTAGATTCTAAATGAGGATAGAATTATCAGAATTTATGGTTCATTTATTTACATATTCTATAATGCTATATTACATTTTCTAAATCTTTTAAAATTCTTTTGGTTTCATCTAAACCGTTAGTACTGTTTATTTTTAAATGAAAATACTTCCCCTTCTGATGATTTGTATCTTCAATCCATTTTTATTATTTCTGAGTTTTGATCTATAACATAATAAATTAGTTTTATATTTATAGCATAATATATAGAAGCAAAAATCAAAGGAGGTTATATCATTGTTAAACTGACATTATTCAACTTCCAGATCTCAAAATTTAAAGTTATTTACATAAAAATTTTACTTTTAAAAAGTAATTTTGTGAAATTTTTATATTTTACATAAATAATAAAAATTAAAGCTTTAAGTTTTGCCACTGAGTGGGGAAGAAATTATTGATTATTTATGATTTTGAAAAAGAAAAACCATGTACAAGGCCCTATTTTACTGCTATAATATTTTTATTTATTTTGCTATCTAGTTTAAAATCTCAAAATTTAAGTATTTACTACAGTTTTTATCTTTCCCTTCTATGTTTTCGTGATATCCAATGATTAGATACAAAAAGACCTCTATTTACTAGTTTTCAAGAAGAGCAAAAAATTATGCCACTGCCTGCTAACTGCCCATCTATTGCAGTTATGGATGTTGCTGAGAATATCAGAGCAAAAATTTATGCTGTGTTGGACAAACTAGGTAAGAAGTTGCTCCTCAGATTCACAAGAACCTCTCTATTTTGCTGAGTATACACATTAATTTTGCTTTGGAGTTCATTTTTCAAACATAGTGAGCAAAAGTTTCTATAGAGAGAGAAATTTATGTTCCATTGTTACCCCAATTCCCAAACTGCACCCATGACCAAACAGAATCTCTAGATGTGGGGCCCAGGCATCAGTATTTTTTAAAGCTCCCCAGGCAATTTCAGTGTGCAGCCAGGATTAAGGGCAGTTAATTTAGATGATTAGAGTTTAACACTAGCCTTCTGAATCATCTGAGTTTTTTTAAAGTCCTTGCTTCCTATTAAGCAAAAAGTCCTCAAACATTAAGCTACTGAAAGTAAGATACCATTGTCTCACCACAACACAGAAAGAATGATTCCTCTTCTAATGGCTAAATAAAGATGACCTGGCAGAGGTTTGTCATAAGGGAAGCCTATTCACAAACTACTCACAGAAGTAGCCTTTTCGTAAATCAAGATGAAATCAAAAGTAACTATTAATATTTGCATGTGTTTTTATAATATTAAGGTCATTAAATATGAACTGTCCGATTTTGAATCAAAAGTTTAGTTTATTATATCTCAAACAAGAAGCAGTACGATTGATCAAAGTATGCACCTAAACTATTAATACAGTTTTGCCGTCTTAATGGTAGCTTGTTTATGCCAGCTGTAAAGAAGCTGGAAAGCCAGTGGAGATGAAATCGCAAAAGGCATTTTCCACAGCTTGTTGAGAATTGAGTATTTTTCCTTGCAAAGAGTGGTCCAAAGCCTGGAAGAAGTGTTAGTCAGTTGGCAAAAGGTCTGGTGAATATCATGGACGACAGAGAGTTTCTAAGTCCTCCTGCTGTAGTTTGAAGAGCATTGTTTGTGTGACTTGTGGTTGAGCATTGTCTTGTAAGAGGATTGGCCTGTCTCTATTGACCAGTCTCAGCTGCTTAATTGCAAGCATCCTCATCATTTTGTCCAATTCGTTGCAGTAGACATCTGCTGTGATCGATTGGCCAGGTTTCATGAAGCTGTAGTGGATAATACCAGCCCTGGACCACCAAACAGACACCATTGGCTTTTCTGATGAATATTTGGTTTTGGACTGTGTTTTGGTACTTCAGCTTTATGCAACCATTGTGCCAAATGCTTGTGATTGTCAAAAAGAATCCATTTTTCATCACACATAATAATATGATATAGAAATGGTTCGCCTTTATGTCTTGACAGCAAAGAAAGGCAAGCTTTAAAGATGATGTCTTTTCTGACGCTCATTTAATTCATGCAGTGCCCTTCTATCCAGCTTATTTACCTTGCCAATTTGTTTCAAATGGTTCAATATTGTTGGAATAGTAACATCAAACCTTGCTGCTAATTCATGTGTAGGTTGAGATGGATTCGCTTGCACTACAGCTTTCAGCTCATCATTATCCAGCTTGGTCTCAGGTCACCCATATGGCTCATTTTCAAGATTAAAATCATCAGAATGGACCTTCTCAAACCATCAACATGCTATGCGTTCATTAGCCACATCCTTCCCAAACCCTTCATTGATATTTGGAGCAGTCTAGGCTGCATTGGTTCCACAATGGAACTCATACTCAGAAATAACACAGATTTTTTACTTATCCATGGTTTCACAAAAATTGCTCTAAAAAAAATTTTGAAAGATAATCACAAGCCCAAATTGTGTGTTTGAAAGAAAGAGGATGTACCTTCACATTAAAATAAAACAAGAAGTGTCAAAGTGAAATGTTAGAGCTGTCAAATGTCAAACTTAGTACTTAAGGAAATTGGACATTTCATACTGAATAACCTAAAACAATACATGCCTCTTGGAATCACTTACTCTGTTACAGTAATTCTGTGTTTATAATTTTGTTTAGATTTTGAAAATTTACCTGGCCTATCTACTGAAGATTTTGTCACCCTCTGTATTATACATAGATACCTCGATTTTAAAGTAAGTACCTTTTTAATAACATTATTAAAATCTAGTATGGCAAAAAATTAATTGGGAAATAAGAGATCTATTCACAGTTGTGAGCAATCACCCACATATTGTGTAGTTTTTATTTTCCATTTTGCATCTGATACTGTTAAAGATATAGATATTGGATATAAAGAAAATATCCAATCAAATATAATTGGGGTAAGATTTCTTCCAACTTAGTTTATAGAAGAAGAGGTACGTTACTGACATAAAGCTATTCAGAAGCCTAACAGAATTTTTTGAAATACAGTTTCTTCTCTTTGAGCATTAGCATTTGAAGTTAAATAAATTATTACTTATTTAAATAAATTATTAATGCTTATTAAAGTATTATTTTATTATAACTTTATATCATGATCAAATCTCAATTTAAGGATATTAAATTTCTTACCTTGCTGGTTATATTTTTGTCAGTAAACAAATGCTTTTGAGGTTTCAGGAAAGTCTTTTTAAGTAAACATTCTCCTTATATTAGTACTATGTATTCGAATGTTGTTAATGAACAAACCTCTTTTTTCAAATGAAAACAAAGTTCAATTTTATTTATATCCTAGATACATAAGTTTTTCTCTAATTTTAAATATTCTCAAGCACATTAATTTCTAGAAAACCCAGATTATGAGATGGAGAACTATCAGCATGATGGAACCATGGAGTTAAAAGCTTGAGATATAATTGTAATTTGCCTTAGCTAGAAAGTGAGAAGCAGGGCCCTATTTCTCAGAGTACCTGGGTCCTAGGGTCCCCATAATCCCCATGTTCATTCTACAAGTTCAGTTTGACCTAGCCTTCAATACCGGGCTTTAGGGAGGAAAGCAGCAGTAGTTCAGAAAGATGAGAATAAATCAGTTTCTACAGCTATGAAAACAAGGCAAGTGTAAGCCAAAGGCCAGTGATGACGGCAATGAACTAGACATAGGTAGTGGAGCCTCATCCATGATATCACTGAAAAACATTGGATAAATTAGTTCTTTTCTTTTTTTTTTTTTCTTTGAGACAGAGTTTCATTCTGTTGCCTGGGCTAGAGTGCCGTGGCGTCAGCCTAGCTCACAGCAACCTCAAACACCTGGGCTTTAGCAATCCTTCTGCCTCAGCCCCCAAGTAGCTGGGACTACAAGCATGCACCACCATGCCTGGCTAATTTTTTCTGTATATATTTTTAGTTGTCCGGCTAATTTCTTTCTATTTTTTTAGTGGAGACGAGGTCTTGCTCTTGCTCAGGCTGGTCTCAAACTCCTGAGTTCCAGCAGTCCACCCACCTCGGCCTCCCAGAGTGCTAGGATTATAGTCGTGAGCCACCGCGACCGGCCGATAAATTACTTCTGAATACTCAAATGTAACTGTTGCCCTAAATCATTCCCAATATGCTTATTCCCAAGAAGTAATCTAGGAAAAGCTTAAGTGTTAACAGGAGTGACCACCCACATAAGTTTTAGGTAGAAGATTACCTAAAAGTGTGTATCATTTATTTTTGGTTAATGTAACTTTGTTAAACCTAAACTTTGTTGTAACAGATTGGAGAAATATGGAATGAAATATATGAAGAAATAAAATTGGAAAAGTTAAGACCAGTCTCTACAGATACAAAAATCTTAGAAGCTATTACAACAGCATCAGAAAATATTGGAAAGATGGTTGCTTCTCTGCAAAGTGAGATGATTGAAAGCCAAGCACGCCAAGATGTACAAAATGAACAAAAAGTATATGCAAAAGTAAGCCACATGGAGTGGGGGGGATGAAGAGAGGTTGGTTAATGGATACAAAAATATAGTTAGGCAGAAGGGATAAGTTCTAGTGTTTGAAAGCGCAATAGGGCAACTATAATAACAATAAGTTGTTGTATATTTCAAAATAGCTAGAAGAGATTTGGAATGTTCCCAACACGAAGAAATAAATGTTTGAGGTGATGAATATCCCAATTACCCCAATTTGACCATTACACATTGTGTGCATGCATCAAAATACCATGCATCAAAATAAAATACCCATACATATGTATAACTATTAATATGTATCCGTTTAAAAAGTAAGCCACAGATACCATTGAGGCACAAGATACTAATTTCAGTGTATAAACTAGAATAAGTTATCCATAGAATTTGTCTTATTTGTGAATGTTTCAGCCTTGAGTTATTTTCTGGTTTTCTCTTACAGTGATTTTAAGTATCTCTGTGCTGTTTAAAAGAAACCATGGAATTAAAAGCTTGAGATTCCATTACTGTATTAAGTGCTGTTTTATGGCACTATAATTTGAATTTTATAGTCTTAAATTTTTAAAAGGTAAAGAGATACCTGAGGCCGGGCTCACGCCTGTAATCCTAGCACTCTGGGAGGCCGAGGCGGATGGATCGTTTGAGCTCAGGAGTTCGAGACCAGCCTGAGCAAGAGCGAGACTCCCTCTCTACTAAAAATAGAAAGAAATTGGCCAAACAACTAAAAATAGAAAAAATTAGCCAGGCATGGTGGCACATGCCTGTAGTCCCAGCTACCTGGGAGGCTGAGGCAGGAGAATCGCTTGAGCCCAGGAGTTTGAGGTTGCTGTGAGCTAGGCTGATGCGACAGCACTCTAGCCCAGGCAACAGAATGAGATTCTGTCTCAAGGAAAAAAAAAAAAAAAAGAGATACCTGAGACATTGCCATATTTTAAAATGCCAAACATGATTCCAAAAATTGTGGCCTACTTAAATGTATACATTTAACAAATTCTATCTGACAGTAGTGTATCTCTGTTGACTATATGCATAACATTATTGAGAGATAAAGTTGGCCCCAGCCCTCACTCTATGATACATCCTTACTGACACTCCAGCCATAGGCATATCTATTGATTGGCTTCATCCTTACCTCAGTGCCAAAACCTTCACTATGAGCATTCTATAAATAGAGATAAAGGTCTCTGACTTTAGCTATCAGAAAAAGCCTATCAGAGGATATCAGCCTTATCTCCTAATGTTATAGTATCTAGTCTTTAGATATTAAAGAAATAGCCAATGTATGACAAAAGTAAAGTTAGTAAACTAACACATTTTGTACACTTTGTGTTAAAATTCATAGAAAGGCTGTCTTCTGAAAAGGACTTTTGGAATGAAATGATGACATCCCATTTAAGCAACACATGTGCCTGTATTCACTGGGTTGGTGGTGGAAAGGAGTTGGAAGAAATGAAGGATTCTAGACTAGAATGTTCCTATTTAGAAGACAGTTTCAGATATAACCATTGTTATATGTGTGTAGTTTATTCAACACTACTGTGTAAATAGTGGACAAACTTAAGTCCTTATTTGAAACATGGGGTCTTTCTAGATGTTCAGAAGTATACAAAGTATGTTAAAAGTAGAGGTAGTGAATATGTTCTGTATATATCCATTTGTTAAAATTCTTACAATATATTGCCTTTGGAAATTAAATGATCAAACCACTTCTTTGAGGAGTACACATTATTATATCTGTGCTGGTTCAGGGAGGAAGGAGGAGAGGAAAGCGCAAAGGGCTTTGTACCAATGTGTTTATGGTGAGGCAAGATTGACCATTGTTTCTTCTGTCTGTGCTTTTTATTTTACTTTGCTATGTATATAATGTATATAAAGGACAAATGAGTCCTAATTTACAAACATCTAGTCTTTTTAGATGTTAAAGAGGTCGCCAGTATATGACAAAAGCAGAGTGAGTAAACTAATACATTGAGTACACTTTGTGTTAAAATTCATAGGAAAGACGGTTCTGAAAAACACTTAAGGAAGTGAAATTGTTAAAATCCCCTCTAAGCATTACAGATGCTTATACATGTCCACTGAGTTGACAGAGGTGGGAAGGGGAAGGTTCTAGGACAGAATCTTCCTATTTAGGAGACACTTTGAGACTATGGTTTTTCTTATGTGTACATGCTGTTTATTCAGTGCTACTGTGTGTATGGTGGAAAACTTAAGTCCTGTTTGAAACATCTAGTCTTTCTAGATGTTTAAAACTGCACAAAACATGTTAAAAGCAGAGGGCTGAAGTAACACCCTTTAAGTAATTTTTGTGATTTCTTAGGAGTGGTTATTGAATTTTGGGAATGGAATTATAAAACGTCATGTCTTAGAGAGTATGCTAACTGTTCACTGGGTGGTGGCGGAAGAGGGAAGAAGTATGCAGAGAGAAGGGTTCTGTGCCCATGAATTAGTTTAGTTCAGATTGTCTAACATGGTTCTATATGTGCATTTTAGTTAACATTGCTGTGTATTAAAGGATAAATAAGTCCTAATGTTCAAAGCACGTTAAAAGTATAGGCAGTAGGCTAGGCACAATGGCTCATGCCTATAATCTCAGCACTTTGGGAGGCCAAGGCAGGAGGATCACTTGAGGCCAGGAGTTCGAGACCAGCCTGGGCAGCATAGCAAGACCCCATCTCTACAAATAAAGTTTAAAAATTGACTGGGTGTGGTGGCACATGCCTGTAGTCCCAGCAGTTCAAGGCTACAGTGAGCTATGATCGTACCACTGCACTCCAGCCTGGGCAACAGAGCAAGACCCTATCTCTAAAAGAAAAAAAAAAGGAGAGGTAGTAAAAAAAAAACCTTGTTATAAATGTCCTTTTGTTAGTTTTTAGGAAGAACTGTCTTATCAGAATTACCTTTGTTAATCTACCTCTTGGAGCTAAATGTAGCCCTATAGTTCATCACTGGAATGGTGGAAGAGGGAGAAGAGGAAGGGTGAAGGGAAGGGCTCTTTGCTAGTGTCTCCATATCTAGAAGATAGTTTTAGATTATAACCACAGGTCTATATGTGCACTTTTAGTGAAGTACCTGTGTTTATTGTGGACAGAGTTCATTATATTGCAACATCTAAGCTTTATAGATGTCCTGAGGTGATAATGTATGATTAAAAAGTAGAGCTAGTGAATTAGCCAATTTGTAAGTATCTCTTTGCTGTAATTGATAGAAAAAATGCATCTCGGACATGGAAATTATTAAACTACTTCTGAGTAGTGTATATCAGGACTTGTTCATTAGGTTGACAGCAGAGGGGTGGAAGGAAGTGTAAAGGCAGAGATGTCTGTAGATGTGTTCATATTTACATTTTGATGGTAGCCACTGATATGTATGCATCTGTTTTTGCCGTACTGTAAGAATACATTAAGTAATTCAATGGAAACATGTCTTCTTGCTAATATTTTAACGGTATAGATTTGATAATGAATTCTCTTAGAAACATTAAAAAATATTCTTAGGTTCATAATTTAAGATTATTGGTATATTATATATTACCCAAAGGCAGGTGTCCTCTGATTATATATTTAATGAATAGACTGTTGAGAATTATAGACTGCAGTTTGTTAGTAGGTAGCTCCCTAGACTACATCACTGTAACAAACTCAGCACTCATAAAATTGCTTGTCTTACTGAAGTTATAAATTAGAAGTAGTTTTACCAATGTAATTTTGCCTAAACTATTATCTATGGCTAGCAGGAATCTCTTTTTATTTTCCCCAGTGAATTTGCTATTAAATCATTTATATAGCTTGTCTGGATTATAATCTGTTTTCACAAGTAGTAATCATGTAAAACAATCAGTCTTGCTGAGAATAATTATTGTTATAAAAATATTAGTTTTGCGTTACATGTCATGAAAAGCAGTCAAAACTGTAGCCATATAGTGATTGAAGGATTGTTTTCCATTTTAAGGCTTTTGTTTTTAAATTTTTAAGTTCTGTGAATAATCCTTTAACTAGTTAGCCTTAAAATTTACCTCAGCAAAGAGCAGGTGCTTCCTTCAAAATAAGAGCTTTCAAGCCTTTTGGTATATCCTTTTGTAGAAACCAACACTCTTAATTATCTCTCTTGTTTCAGATACAAGCTACACGCAAGCAAAGAGAACTGGCTAATAAATCATGGGAAAATTTTGTGGCTAGAACATCAAATGCTAAAACATTAAAGGTAGGATTTTTAAAGTATTACAATATCCACAACAAATAACCAACTCTTACAGAGGGACTTTTTCAGGAATGAATATTCATTCACTTTTTTCTGGTGACCTTTCTGTACAATACCAACACTATCCAATCCTCATATGCAATTTAGGGTGATGACTGAATTTGGTTCAGCAGGGAGAGGCAAGTGTGGTGTTCTTGGCCTACATAAAGAAGGAGATGATAGTGAGACAGGAATGAGATGGAAAAATGTGCTCTGCTTTCTATTCTGAACCTTCTTATTCTTTGATTTCTTTTCTGTAAGAAGCAAAGGACAGAAAAAGCAACTGTCCTATGTTACCCTCTCCCCCAAGTGTTTTCCCCCTCTATGATCACTGAAGGAAACATTATCTTAAAGCTTAAATGGGAATTTGGGATAACTATCCCTTTCTAAAAAATGTGATAAGCTGCTTCAACTATAAGCTAAAAACTAATCTTAAAAGTTTATAATGCTGATTGTTTGAAATATGTGAGAAGTGCCATGGATTTCCAAAATTTCATTATTTTTCCCCACCTTTTCCATTAGTACCTTGAATGTTCTTTTACATAATGTTACAGTTCTTTCTTTAGATGTGAAATTGTTAAATGTTAAGTTAGTCCACAAAAATAGTGGAACTATATTAAGATAGCAAAATCAAATATAGCCATCTGTACAAGCTCACTCAAGGTACCAAGGAACCCCCTATTCACTAAAAGTTCCTCCCACCTTTACTTACAAAATTTTGTCATAACTACCTGTATTTTTAAGGAATAGTTAATGAAGATCAGCCCCTTTCCTATAGATCGTTTGTTACCTCACATTGTACCTGTTTTGTGCCTCAACTATTGAGCTTGAATATAACTGCAATGAGTTATATAATTTCTATTGTTGTAAATGTTTAAAGCATTTAAGTATATTGAATTAGTACTTAATTTTACAGTATGCATCACCTGATATAAATTTAGTAGTTTATTAAATTATGTGCTAAAAATTGAACCTGATTTCCTTGCTTTATTCCTTGATCGTGTATGACCAGTACCTCTAGAAATCTCAGGAACATCTTTAGGTGACTGGTGTCTTCTTCAATGGTACAAAGGATCTAACTTACTAATAACTATCTTCTTAGACTAAATGAGTAAATACAGATTTCAGGGCTACCTAATGAACAGCGAAAACATAAGCCAAGCACAATTAAATGTAGTTTTCATTGTAAGTACCATAGCTAATGCTTTAATAGCAATTAATATTATTGTCTTTCTAATTTAAAATTCTGCAGAAAGCAAAAAGGCTTCAGGAAAAAGCTATAGAATCCTCTAGATGTAGTAAACGACCACAAAATGCAATATTGCACCAGACAGATATTAAAGGCCTTAACACAACGGTAAGATTATTTTTTTCTATAATGTTTTCTTAATAAATATTAAATTTAGGCCCCAAAACTGTTACTTCTATTGGACTTTTGTCCCATCTTTTCCTTTTGCTGTTCAGATTTCACATTGTTAAAACATACTTATCTCCAAGGTACATCCACTCTTGCTTAGCGCTGGTTTACAGCAGGCCCAGCCCTCTAGGATTCCTAAGAAACTGCTACAAACACTAGTCAGTGTGTCTGTCTTTATATCTCTTCAACAGAAAATGTGCAGTGCCTCCTCTGTCTGGCAAGTAGATCCATGCCACATGCCAGTGTTTCTTCTGTCTTCTGCTGGATATAATTTTCCCTGGTTACAAAGCTGATAAGTAATAGAAGTAGAATAAAAACCTCCTTTTCCTGGCTCCAGAGCCCTTATCTTTCCATTATGCCATACTGTCTCCTACTTACTCATATGTATATTTTGTGTCTTTTCCAAAGTAAGCTGAAGGATGAATGGGTTTTTCTCTTATTGAAAATGTTGTAAGTAGACTCACAGATATTTATCTTTTGCTTTTTTAGGTACCCTCTGGTCCGGTAGTCACAGTGGAAAGCACTCCTGCCCGATTAGTAGGAGGACCTCTGGCTGATACTGATATTGCTCTTAAAAAACTGCCCATTCGAGGAGGAGCCTTGCAGAAGGTGAAAGCAGTTAAAACTGTGGATGAACCAAACAAGAGTATTCCTACATAATATGCTCTAGAGACTTTTTGAAATAAAATCTGCTTATAATTTTTTAGTTAAATACATCTTTATATGTAAATGTAAAGCAAATATTTTAGTGAAATACTATAAAAAATAAAAGTAAGGACATATAATTTATTTTTATTGAAAACATCAACATATAATATCAGAAGAGTTGTCATCAATTTCTTTGGAAAGACTACCAGTTCTCTTAACTGAAATTGTAAAACATAGTGTATCGGTTAGAACTCTTTTGGTTGCACATGAACTACTCCAACTAGTTTAAGCCAAAAAAATTTTTTACAGGCTCTATATCCACTAAATCTAGGATTAATTTAGACCGTAGGCATTGTTGTATCTAGGGACTAAAACTATATGAGTAGGATGTTCTCCTTTCCTAGCAGCTCCTACCTTACATTCTCTCAGGTTCATGTCCCGTGGAGAAGAGTATATCGCTGTCTCTTAACAGTTTCTACAACTGCCTGTGCATCTTGAGGCCCCTCATTGGCCACATTCCCATTCCTGAGCCATTCACCATGACTTTGGCCAGATCCACATACGGCCTACTCCTGGAGCCAAAAGCAGGCCAACCTGGTCCAAAGCATATGGATGGAATTGGGGAGTCAGAGTAACTGTTATCAGAAGTATATATGAATGCTGGGCAGCAAAATAAACAATAATTCTGCAATAAATATGTTGGCCAAAGTAAAATAAGTTATCTCTACTATAAAAAGCAAATGTTAGTCATGAGCTAAAGAGTAAAAATAAAATGTAAAAATAACAGCTGGTTTTACCCTTAATACATAAATATGCAAAGCAAACTCTAATGCTATTTCTCTTCTTTAATGGAGAAGGGGAAGGGAGAGTAGGGGAAGTGTTTTTCTTCCTTTGGTGGTGGAGGTATCTTGCCAAAGAATAGGAGGTAGATGCCTTAATGCTGAATGTAGAGCAAATCCATGTCTCTGGATGCTATTATGAGGTTTCTGTCTCCTGTCTTCATCCCCATCATGCCCCTCCTCTAGCCAGGAAGCCACAAAATTGAGTTCATGTCTAAGGCTGGGAGAGATAAGAACCTGTTTTCTTAGACAGGAAAATAAACTGTATTTGAGTCTAGATTCTAGGCCCATAGAGTGCACTCAGCAGTGTACTGATAAATGTATAATAACTGGCTCTCCAGGGGGGAAGCCCTGATTTATAGCATTTGCCAATTTGCATGGTATAAATACTCCCACTATGACCAATTTCAAGCTACCGACATGATGCCATGGAATGCAGAGTTGGGAAGAGATGCATACATTCCATTTTCATTATTAGATAAGAGCAGGCTTCATCACCCCACTGGGCCCACCTTTTCCTACTTCCTCTTTCCTCCTCCTCCTTCCTGAACTCACATTTCTCTAGGAATTTTACATTATCCTCTCTGTGAGGACAGTAGCTTTTTCACTGAGGGGAGAAGTTTCAACTGTTGTTCTAATTAGAATGAGTTGCCAGTTCACCTTTGGCTACCAGCCTCTCACCCTGGCAGAGCTGCTCAGGCCCCTTGTGGCCCACAGGAGTAGATATAATAATATGCATCAGCTTATCAATGAGCTTTGTTCTCTCTTGAATCCCTTTCTCTACTACCACCACCCCCAAAAAGATATTAAAAGGTATGTGTTCCTTTCCTTCACAGGAAGCCCTAAGCATAAAGATTCCATGTAAAAAGGGGAGTTACTAAAACACAGGAATGGATGTGGGTAGGGGCATGCGGTGATGAGATACTCATAGAAAAAGCACCAGATACACCTTAGGTATACCTCAGTTTATACCCAGAGTTGATACAAAGTGTCCATGGTTAATAACAAGGAATCTTTGCCCCATTTTGTACACTATAAGCACGTTCCCCAGATTCTAAGCCCCTTGGGAACAAAATAGAGACCATATCTCATTCATTTTGTAATCAACATCTCAGTAAATAAATTACTGGGTAAGTATGATGGTAGCCTCAGCTCCTGGCAACCTTTCCCTTGAGCTCTGTAAATGTAGCAAAGTACCGGCATCACATCGCACAGGAGAGAATCTGTCGTCATAGGAATACCTGTAAACAGTGCTGTATACCATGGTAGCCTTTCTGAAAACCCGTGGGACAGATTTCTATTGAGTCTTAGTCCTGGAAAAGGCCAGGCCTTTCCTGAACATGTGGTTTGGTTTTTCTTATAAGTATGTGAATCTTGAAACTGTTCATGAGTCCCTCTTCACTCTGAGAAATGGAAAACAGACCAAATTTACAGGTACCCTTTATCAAAGATACTGGCTTTTATAACATGTACTCAAAATTATTAATCTAAACCATAACTCCATATTATTAGTTTCCTGTCTTCACTTCTAGTCATTCCAATATCCTCATCTACTTCATGTTATCCTACTGTTTGGTATATTTCTTTAAAGCTTCATATCCTTTTTGGAATAAGATGTGAGATATAAATAGTAATATAAAAGACAAACTGAGCTGATGCCTAAAGACAAAAATTCTATCAAACTACACTTTACTAAAATGAAGTTTCTTACTGCCTTTTTGTTTGTTGTTCCTTTTTCAAAATGAAAACAATAAAAATGAGAACACAAGTTTGTAGTCCTCAATGCATAGAAAAATACTTTAATATATAAGATGGCTTGGTAATGAAAAGCACATTTCAGAAGCCATACAGTATACTACATCAAGATGAAATATTACTTTTTAGGATAATGCTGCCATTAGTTTTGGCACAATTTTAAAGTCAATATTAATGTATAAGAGACCTTATAAAATTAGTTGTAATTTTCCATTGACTATGTATTAAAAATATTTCACATTTGTATTTAAGTGATATTTTCTTTAAAACAAAGACGCTTTACAGAGACTTCTAAATCAGAAATTATTGACAAATTACCTGATAATTCAACAGCAATAAAGCAATTACATACCAACAAAAATACAACCTTGATCAATATTAAAGAATTAGAAATAGTTTATAACTACTACAGGAAATATTTGACCTCATCAACACTGACAGAATTAAGCTTTCAGGTTGGTATCATCTTGCTTGAGGTATTTTCCATGTTTTCCATCTTAAATGTAATACTCATGTTTTGTAAAATCCAGTCCTGCAAGATTCGAGATGAGAAATTGTTAATATTTATTCTAATATGACTCTTAAGATTCCCCCCTTTTATATAGCCCTATTGAAAAAGATTAATTTTAAAATCCTAAATACATGTCCGATGTTTTAAGAAATCTCTTCAGCAAGTGGAATATGAATAATTACAGTATTAAATGGCTTTCTTATGAACTATTCATGAGGAAACAATAATTTTAATGAGCTACCAAAATATATTACATTCCAAGATCATTTAGAATCAAGTATTTGTATATCAGAGCTCCCCTGGGAGTAAAAACGAAAATCAAAGCATATCATATTAGAAAAAAACTGAATATGGCAAATTTGCTAGCTTGTTGGATAAACGTAAAAAGTCAGAAGGATTAAAAATTGAAATTTAAAGAAAACTGCTATTCTCTTAAATACACATTTAAATTACCTCCTGTTATTTTCTGTGGAAAATTATATTTGGGGGCCATCACCTGTCTTCTGCCCATTCCATGAGATCTTGAAAGCAAGCAGTCTATATACATGTCCCAGAAATCCTGAGCTATGTTTAAGAAGACATTATAATGTCCAGGCCACTGGGATTTTTGCAAGAACAACATGAAATTCCAGAAAGCATCCACATTGTGCTCTATTTTGAGTTCCTTGAGATCTATCAATGTCAAAGAACAAGCTTTCCAGCACTGAAGATCAATGTCTTCAGTGATCCCTGGGCTGATGTTGGCAAGCACTCCCTTTTGAAATTCAAAATCAGCATTAACCAGATTGATCAGCACCATGCAGCCTAGTGACAGGTAGAAGCATCTTCTTGTGGCAAAACCCATATTCTATACAGAAAAAAAGGTGGGGGGGGGCATTTTTGACTTAGAAAGTAATTCAAATACTTCATCTAAAAATTACTTGTTTTTGATCAAGCCAAATTTGCCTACTATGTATTTGTTAGTTGTCCTCTAAGTTGCTGACATTCCTTTGAAAAGGATATTACAATTCCAATTTGATTACCAATGTTCCGATAGAGTCTTCGGGAGCCACTGAAATCCGACACACGTTTATAAAAATGTGATAGGTTCATTTCATCACAGACCTTTAAAGCTGGAAGCCGCCTTAAAGAGCATGTGTTTCAATCTTCTCCCTTTACAGATTAGAAAAATTCTCAGTGATGTGGTCCAGCAAGTTCTCAGGTCTCATGACTGCCCATCCAAAACTCCCCCCACAACACATTCTAACTAAGTGGATCAAAATGCCTTCCTTTCCATGTGTAACCATGAGAAGCATTGGGTTGTTAATTGAGATGTGACAGTTTTATTAACCCAAATGGTATTGAATCAAGCACTGTTTTAAGTTTCAAAGTTACTGCTGCTTCCATTTTTATTTATTGAAAAATATTTGTTAAGCACTGATGTCTGGTGGATCCCTAGCTTCTCAGATTGTTCAGGAGCTGGCTGGAGAAGATTAACATACATACATGAAGGAGCACGAAAACAGAGGTGATAGCTAGTATGAGATGGTGCAGGGCCAATGACATTCAGCAAAATGCTAACATTTTCTAAGGCTTTGTTGCACAAGTTTCCCTGCCAGTTAATTTCTCAGTAAAATCGGCCTACATACAGCACTTCGGTGGAAGCCAAGGACTAAGTCGGCATTGAATTGCCACAGAGCTACTGTTCACGGCTAGCGTTGGAAATGTCCCCGTTACAACTCCGACAGGCAATGAAAAAAGGTAAGTGAAGAGGACAGACTCAGAACACAGGGCTCACCTCTTTCCCTCGTATGTGGCGTCTGTCACCTCCCCCCAAAAAGTTAGGCTAAAGAGAGAAACCACACGAAACAAATTTAAACAAGATATTCAGGTCGTTTCACATTGTCCTAAAGTGTGCAGATTCCCCA